AGGCACCCTGAGCTATGCAAGTCTTACTATAACTCTGAAGATGCTCCCATCTCGGGGATCCTCAACGCATCACAGGACCCTCAACTTCATCAAAATTCATCTGTACTGAGACCCGAGCCCTCCCCCACTGGATTAAGCAAAATGAAGTATGTCAAACTCCTGGCCTTGGACTTGGCATAGAGTAAGCACTCAACAAAGTTACTCAGTATGTGGATGGTTTACTTTTGTTCTGCACAACTTTTTCACTATGCTGAGATGACTCTGTTCTCTGCATTTAGCACGCTGCTTCCCATGGTTGCCATGAATTTTCTCTTTGTTCCAGACACACATTGCTGTATTTTAACAGCATTAGTGCAAGACAATGTGCCCGGTTTCTCAGCAGTCTGCCTTTCTGCTGAACATCTAATTTAATTGCCTTTCTAGTGTCAGCTCATTTAAAACCAAAGCAACCACAATTATAGATTCTTGGATTGATGAAGCGAGACCTCCCTTTAGGGGATGAATTTCTATAGCAGTTTAAGAAACTTTAGAAGACAAAGGGAGGAGGTAACAGATAACTGTTATTAAGTTTTAACACTCCCTGCACAGACCCTACTATATCCAAGAAATTACTTAACAATGTACTATGAAGAAATGAGGAACCTGATTAATCTCTGCTGCTCTGTGTTCCAATAGCATCTTCCTGCAAAGCTGAGTGGAGCCCTGTTAGGCTTTTCCTAGGTATACACAAGATATACGACTTGTTTGTTTAAAGTGTCTCTGTGCAAGCACCTACAGATGTATGAAGGTCTTAGGGTTAATTTAAATTAGTAAGGTTTTCCTTCCATAAAGGATTTCCAAATAATAAAACTGCTATTTCAATATTCCTGGCATTGATTATTATCCACTAAACCAGAAAGGATACCTGGATATAATTAGGCAGAGTAGGAAGGTAATTCTTTATGATTCAAGACTCCAGGGTCTCMATTTTAACAGTTGTTCCCAAAGAAATAATCCCCCTCATGTCATCTACTTCTCCAGGTAAGGACATAAAACATCTGATGCACTTTTAGGGGACAAGTGTGTTTGAGGGGCTGAAGCCAACAGGGACCTCTCATCACTTACTACAGAGAAGACCTGCATATCCACCATAAAAAAGACTCAACCCAATGTTACTTTAGTCTATGCTGGTGTCACACTGTGGAGGCTCAAAAGGGGTTCTTACAGAGTCGCCAGTGTAAGCTCCCTGTCTGGTGACCTGCTGCACCCATCTCAGGTAGATTCTGGCTCTGTCCATGATATCCAGCATCCAAGAGGSAGATACTACATCAAATGAGGAAGAGTCAGAGGTGCATGGGTAGGCTGGTTCCTGCTTTGACTCCATTATAATTTTCTGAGCTCTGCTGTGTTCTGTGCTCTAAGAAGTCCTTGCCCTCAGACTTTTGGAGGTGAGTTAGTCAAAATGCTAACCTGATCCCTGACTGAACACAGTACTAGCCCAGGAGGGACGACGGTTTGTGGATCCTGCCTGGTCCTGCTCTCTGTAGCTCGCTGTGCAGCCATGACCCACTCCAATAAGAAGGCTTATGAGCATGGACTAGTTCAACACWCCGTCTTAGAAGCCACCCTGTGCAAATAACCAGGTACAAGATGTAGAAGGCATTTTAGCAGGTTTCTCCCCTGGCTTCATATAGCAAAAATTCCTGGAGCATAAAACACCTTGTTCTACAGGCAACATGGGGATGCAAAGAGAAGGAGTCATCTCCCCTAGAATCTCAACTCTTAATTATGCTTTTCTCTTCTTTGATTAAGACCATTTGACAGGGGGCCAGGAGGGAGGAGACATTTCAGAATGTCCTAGGAAAAGACATAGTTTTTGACATCTTGAAGCCTGCTCAAGAGGATAGTAGACCTTGGAGTGTAACTAGTTAGGACAGTGACTCTCACAGCACTGGAAATTGGTCCTCATGGCTGCCACTACCATGTTTAYGCAAAGTCTAAGTTCCCAGCCTCCTTAAAAATGGTAGTTTTTTTTATCCTGAATGCCTCTGGAATCGGGGTCTCTGGATTAAATTAATACCCCTGAAATGGCTGGGACACCAGGGCTACATGTAGAATTAGATCTGCAGCTTCCCAGGGTCTCTTAAAGAAGAAAAGGAAGAAATCATGGTAGTCAGGAAAGGGATTCAGGAGCCMGAGCACTGAACTCTCATCCTGGCTCTGCCCCATCCATCCAGTGGCTATACCTCGGGACTTCGAGTTGTCATCTGTACAATGGGATAATGATATGTATGTCATAAAGCTACTGTGAGGAGGAGATAAGGTAATGGATGTAAAGGGCTGAAGAGCGCTTGGCCCATGGTAAATGCTCAACAAATATTAATGATGTTATATTAACATTAACACTACACAATACATCACTGTTAGTGCTAATGACAGAGACAATACTGCCACTTCCCTTCCTGTGACTAGCTATGCTTTGGCACCTGTTTTTACTCATGGTACAATGGTTAAGAACTTACTGATTTTATTATGTATTACCTAGTATAATAAAATTTATAGTTTCATAAAGCATACTGCCATTTTCCTTTTTCATTTCCTTTTTTGYCTTTTTAAAAATAAACTATTCATTGGTGGAGTAAAACAAACAAACATAAAAATGTCAAAGTTCCACTGTGGCCTCTGTGCTCCTCTGCCCAGCTGATTGTAATCTCTTCTCCCCCCCAGACTCATACATATGCATGCACGACAGCAAATACAAACACACACTTCAATTTTTACTCCCTTTCTTCTTCACACCAACRTAGTGTATTCTATACATACTGTCCTAAACTTTTCATTTTGATTGTTAATAGTTTTTCCACAACAGAGCAGAGACCAACCTTTCTTTTAACAGCTACCGAGTGTTCCTCTCAATGAMTGACATCCTGTAACTTAAATTTAACCGGTGCCCCATTGATGACAGACTTAAACCTGGCTTAGAGAGAATCGAACTATGATTTGTAATATCTTATAATAATACCGTCTCCTTTTCTATTGTGAATCAGTAAAATTTTGTTTTAATATTTGTGTGTGTGTGTGTGTGTGTGTGTGTGTGTGTGTTAGTGGAAAAAAAATAAACAGACTAAAGTACTGGGAGGCAGACATAGGAAGCTATTAGGGTTTGGATCTGGAATGTTCCCTCAAAAGTTCATGTGGGCCACATTCAGAGATGCACTGATTAAATTATGAAAGATGTGGCATCATGAGTGGATTAATCCATTTGATGGGCTAATAACTTGAATGGACTACTGGGTAGTAACTGTAGACAGGCCGGGCATGCTAGAGGAAGTATGTCACTGGGGGCATTGTCTTGGGCACTCTACCTGTCCCTGGCCCCTTCTTCTCTCTCTCTCTCCTCTCTCTCTCTCTCTGCTTCCCAGCTTTCATGAGCTGAGCAGCTCCTAGACCTTCTGCCATGATGTTGTGCCTCACCTCAGGCCTAGAGTAATGGAGTCAACTGACCATGGCCTAAGGCCTCTGAAACCATGAGCCGAAGATAAACGTTTCCTCCTCTAAGTTTTCCTTATCAGGTATTTTGGTCATAGTGATGAAAATCTGACTAACACAGAAATCTCTCCTAGAGCTTATTTTCTGGGCCTCCTCTAGGAGTGTTTGAAGCTAAGCTTCCTTCCACTTGTCCATCTCCTCAGTTTGTTTTACTCAGAGCCTCTGGACCAAATGAAAAGCCACTGTAGTTTAGTGAAGGATGGAAGTTGTTGTAAAGTAATCCCTGGACGACTGCATGCATCAGCCACGGCTGGCCAACTATCTCCTCCAGAAACTGCTGGATGCCGAGTTCACCTTGGTCAGCTGATGAGCAACCTGAGTGGCCTTTACTGACATAATTAATTACAGACACATGGGATGTACTATATATGTACATGTGTATGTGTGTGTGTGTGTGTGTGTGTGTGTGTGAAAAGAAACACTGAGGAAACAATGTGTTATGTGCTTTTACCGTTCTGTTTGTAGCTTTACTAGGTGATTTTAGTAAAGAGCTATAGGACATCACTTTGACAATTACTATGATTGTCACCAAGGGCACTGTCTCATGTAAGGTTTTATTTAATAAATTCTTTTAGAACTGGTCAGGAGATATTGGCTATGCTGAACCAGACAGTTTGGGGTCATGCTTCTTCTCATGGCCCTGGCTTTTTGGAAGTTGAGTCTACTCAGCCATGAAAATAAGTGACCTGTCTCATCTATTGCTATGGTTTGGATATGGTTTGTCCTGAAAAGAGTTGTGTTGCAGGCTTATTCCCAGTGTGGTGCTTTCGGAGGTGGGGCCTAGTGAGAAGATCTTGGGAGTATGTCTTTAAAGAAGATGTATGGCACCCCAGGTTCCCCATCTTCCTGTTTGGAGATGCAATCTCTTCTTGCCATGTGTGTTTCTGTCATTATGTTTCGCAATGACAATAATACAACCAAAAGACCTCTCACGGGAGCTGAGCTGATGCAAGTACCATACCCTTGAACCTTCAGAAATAAGAGCTAAATAAATCTGTTATCTTTATAAGATAGCCTACCTCAGGTATTTTGTAATAGTAACAAAAAGAATGGAATAATATATCTATTATTACCTGTAACCTAGTATTTCTCAGTTAGGGGCAATTCCTTACTCTTGGGCCCTCAGGAGTCATGTGGAAATGTCTAGAAGTATTTTGGTGGTCTCAAAAAACAGGAATGCTGCTATATGTCCTATAATGCACAGAATTTCCCTGGCAAAGAATTATTCCCTGCAAAGTGTCAACAGTGTTGAGGTCAGAAAACTGGGTTCTAATCTTAATATTAAGTCCTCTGTTAGAAGCCTCTGAGATCTTATTTAGAAGGATGCATAACTACATCTGAAAATAATAACATACTGTGATAGAATGCTGGAAAAGTTACAGGCATTTTCATGCCAGAATAGACCCCAAGTCAGACTGCTCATTTTCCACAAGGAGATGTAAGTGCACCACACACCGCAAGTCATCAAGTACCTTGAGGAGTCTGAACGCTGTCATCCAGCAGATTCTGGTTTGCTCATCCTCGGCACAGAGCAGTCTCAGCTCTTTAGCTTCATTTTTCACTTTGTTTGGCTRGAGGAGGAAAAAGGAAATCCAATCAGCGCAATGTGGTGAGTGTGGAGCACACTTTACGGCAAGGCAGAGCTGCACAGCACTCAAACCCAAGGCAATCAGCTGTGGTCATCCATGCAGAGAGCATAGCACATGCACACTCTCCTCCAGGTAGATATAATCCTCTTTCACACAACATAGACTAGACCAGGGCTGGTTGTAGCTACTTATTCCTTAGCTGAAGCATATACCCTTCCCTAGCTGGGAACTGCAGAGCAGTCAGACAGCCAAACAAATCACCATGAGGGAATGAGCATGTGAAGAACGATGGAACAAACAGGAAGATATGTCCACCTCTGTTGAGGGGATACTGGAATCTATGGGAGGACAACCTCTTTCCTGAGTTACAGAAGGAAAGGTCTTCAAAGTCACTCTCCCAGGGAGACTGAGAAGGTGGCTGGGTGTATTAGCTGGGAAGCAGGGAGGCCCCCAAGGGGCTCAGAGGTTATGGAGAGCCAAAATGGTCCCAATGTGGACCCCCCAGTGGAAGTCCAGAGAGGAAGGGCAATGCAGAAAAGGCACCGAAATGGAAAAAAAAAAACAACCCAAGACAGGTAGGGGCATGTCACATATCCTGTGGACCCAGAAGAATGACAGGTTTGCCTGGCAGAGGCAGGGCTAGGAGCTGAGGGAAAAGCCTGTCACAGGGTAAACTAATYTGGGCTTCCACTTGAATCCCCTGCTGCAACTCAAAGAACAGTGCTCGGGGTGGACACTGATTTTGCCTTTCACTTCAGGAATCTGGAGGATCCAGGGGTGAGAATGACTGCCCAGCACTCAGGGCACCCTGTAAGTACAGAAATAGGAGCAGAGAAAAGTATGTAGCTGGTGTGGGTCAGCAAGAAGGGTGAGGAGCTTCTCCTGTGGTCATCATGGGCTTCTATCTGGTTTGAAGTAGATTCATACTATAGTGGTCTCCACTTAATCTCTGGGATACATTCCAAGACCCCTAGTGGGGACCTGAATCCATGATAGCTTCAATTCTATAACTGAACACTTACCAACCCACAGTGGCTTTAACTTTGGCAGTATGCGTGGGAGGGCAGAAGTAGCAGATTTCTTTTCCCCTCTTTACATTTTAATGGGTATTAGATTTGTTCTGATTATAGTTCTCGGGAACCTTAGCATATAATTCTTTCCTTTCCTTAATAAGTCCAGAACTTTCATATTTTTCCTTAAAAGGAACATCTGATGGCCTCCCTTCAGCATATCTGGATTACTGGCAACACTCTTGAACTTTSGAGCCACTATTTAAAGTGAAATAAGGGTTATTTGAAAATAAGCACTATAAGTACTGCAGTAGTAGATCTGATAGCAGAGAGAATGCTATAGTGACTAATGGGCAGGTAGTATATACAATGTGCATATGGTGGATGAAGGGCCAGTACCCTGTGCAAGACAGAGCCTGAAAAGTGTGAGACAGCAACATACTACTCAGAATGTTGTGTCATTTAAAACTTATAAATTWTTTCTGGAATTTTCTATTCAATATACTTAGACCCTGGTTGACCAMAGGTAACCAGAATCAATAGAAACAATATCAGGAATAAGGGGAGCACTACTGTACCTGATAATGGTATTTCAGGAAGGCACTGCTGTTGTGATACAGTCTGAGGAAGGGATCCCAAAGTTCTCTTTTCCCATCAGAATGAAGCTTGAGCGCTGGCTCGGAACTTAGCCCACTGGGGTGAGTTCCAAGCACAACCACTCACTAGCTAGCTAACATGGGCAATGAAACTGGATGGTTTCCTACTCTATTAGTATCCATGGAATAAATAATAGGTATGAAACCATTAGTAGAACATTCCATACATAGTAAATATTCAGTAAAGATCACGTACCATTATGATTGTCAATCTTGCCATTACCTCACTGGGGGCAGAACATGGTCCTGCAGGCATGTGTGTGGGTATACGTGTGTACATGTGCATCTTTGTATATGAGTGTATGTGTATTTGTGTGCATATATGTATAAGCATATGCACTGGAGTACACATAGTATTGTTGGCCACATGCACACAAGTGTGTATGTATATGTGCACATCCATGTATACACATGTGCATGTGCATTTCTGTGCATATGTCTGCCCACGCTCGTTCATATACACAGAGTGTGGGCAGTGCTGTAGTCATTCCTATCTGATTATCCTCATGACCAAAGATGCTAGCTTACACAGTACCTGGAGGTTACAGGTGACAGGCCAGGGGTCTCCTGCCCAATTGACTRTCCTTCTCCCACTACTAATACTTGGCTCAGACATAGCTCAGTCACACCTGGTCCTAAGTCATTGAGCCCACCAACTGCATTACCCACAACACTTTCTCTTGAGCTCTGAGCTACTTGAGAATCAACATGTCATAAGAAAACATGAAACTGTATTTCTATTAAGAACAAAAGAAGCAACGAGCACATGGTGAGCAAGAGAGGAATTAGTCATTAAAATTCCAAGTCCTAGCCTTTGGACAGCCTCATGGTAGAGTACCTTAATGCAGAGCCCATGGTCCGTGGGAGCGCTGTACTGCTTCTTCCCAGCGATCAGGAAGAAGATGTTGCTTTCCTCCAGGTCAGCCAGCAGCTGCAGGTGTCTGGGCTCCTGCAAAAACAGAGGTCGGGTCTCAAGCACAGCAAAGAGCAATTGTTCTCACATCTTTGTAAGCAGAAGACAGCCTGTGCATGCTCACACAAACTCCTCTCCTGGCATTTTAGAGACTCTGACCATGGGGTGAATTAAATGTTAAATGAGAAACAAACTTGCACAGCCCTCACTCAAAAAAACCTCACCTTTCAAAAACTCAGACACAAGACTATTGGAATGTTTCAATGCTTCTGCCAAATCACAGCCTCATGATTCAAGTAAAACCCAGGAGAAAGCCTGCAGCCCCAAGGTCAAAGTTAAGAGAACATTCTATGTTCAGGGCCATACCACCGATGACATACTGTGTACTCGAGTCCCCATGGTGCCTTCAGTTTTCACACTGACAGCCTGGCCCGCCCTTCTGAACTCTCCAGCCAAGTCCTATTTCCTGCTCTATGCTACAAACTGTTCCTGGCTTCAACACGAACGAGGATGATGAGTAAGCCATAAATCAGAACTGGGACGTCAAGGAGTTGCCCTGCCCTGCCCTGCAGGCGATCAAAGCCACTCAATGAAGATACCCTTTCGCCCCAGATAGAACATCATCTAGCAGCTACTGAATTCCCAGAGCCATAGCTGCTCAGCACCTTCATCTGGGCTCCCCCCATCTCCCTACTCTCTCCTGGAAAGAGCAGAAGAGACTGCAGCTCTTCAAAGGCAAATGTTCAGCCAAGTTTGGCTGGACACAGCTCCTAATGCAGAGTGTTTGTAAGTCATTCCCAAGAAAAGAGTAGGAACAAATGTGCAAAACGTCCACAGGAGACCTCCAGGAGGAGCCCATAGGAAGTCTATAACGTCACCTGCTTGGTTTTGAGGTCTGCAGCTGTTTCCCATCTCTCACCCCCTCTTCCCAAAGTGCACACACATAGAAAGTACAACTGACTACAGAAAATGTCCATAGCAACATATGTTAGATAGGCATTAAGGTGGCAATAATCTTGCAAACATCCTATGGCTAGTTTGCATACCAGCTTCTAAAATTACAAAACAAGTCAATATTTGTAGTGACTTAAGTAGTCAGAAGGGTCTTCTTGTGACCCATAATCGGGGGGAGCTGGGATTGAGCAGCCCAGGGGTGCAGGAGTGATGTAGCAGGCCATCCCAGATCTATATTATCACCCAGCTTCTGAGGCAGCCCAACAGAACTGTCATTCTTACACAATTAGCTTATTATCAAATCATAGAAGAGGTTAAAATCCATTTTAAAATGAAACCTAGGTTCATTCTTAGTCACATCATCCTGGGATAACTGGGCAGAATTGGTACTTGTGGTGGGGGGTTTTCAAACTCACCTTTGAAGTTCCCTTTGTAGAGCAATAAAGGCCTGATCTGCGCAAACACACGTATAGCTTTTTCCAAGATTTTCTTCCCAGCTCTTTCACATGCAAAAACCCTTGAATTTCAGGACAGCTGCTGGCATTCAGAAAATTCTGAGGAAAAGCAAATTTTAAAAAATCAGATAATGCTAACATAAAATAATTAAAATGGAAATGTTATTGTTGCAGTTGACATTTTCTGAATTATTAAAATGGGGTTTTTTTTTTTTTTGGTCAAACTGAGGTCTTGCTCCTTTCAAAACTCTAAAATCCCATCTAAATTGGCATTGTGTAGAATATAATGAGCACTGAAACACAGGCAAGCAAATTAATCTAACACTGGTTAAAAGCATAAAGTTATAATTTCCTTATAAGGCAAAAGACTTAAGGATTCTGCTCTTTGTTCGAGTTTTCTAAATAGTATCTAATCTGATTATCAGAACTAGGAGAAGAACAAGTACCAGCAGCAACTGATTAGAAACACTGAGAATTGAGAATAAGAACCAAGCTGCCACTTTTACCTCTGCGTTCTTTCAAAAAGGAGTTACATAAAAGGTATCTGTCCATGAAGTACCTGGGACGCYGTGGTGACAGCTCACTGTCCCAGTTAACAGCTTTTATATAGGCAGCTTTATGCATAAAATCTTAGAACACACACTCACACACACACACACACACACTCTCTTTCATGGGGAAGAAAAAAGACGGGGCGTGGCCTTGGTGAGTCCTCAGCCCTGGACGAGAAGCAGACAACGTCCCTCCCCACAGGTCTGGATACTGTTGGTTTGTTCTCTCGTTTGACACGTTGCACACAGACACACGTCTGGGGGGCAGCAGTTACATTCCCTTTCACATTCCCGACTCCCCAAGAGGAATGTGAGTCGGCACTCAGCCCAGAGGCCCTGCTGGCCCCATCCCCTGGAATGGAGTGGGGACAGACCAGGTTTTTTTTTTTTTTTTTTTTTTTTTTTGAATACACGTTAGAAAGCAGAAGAAGAATTCAAACAAGTTTCCTTAATTTTAATGTATAGTAAGTTACTTCTAAGGACTTTGTGGGACTAGGGTGTGGCTCAGTGGTAGAGCGCTGCTTGCCTAGCATTCACAAGGCTCTTGGTTCCATATCCCCAGAATCAAACACACACACACAAAATTTTTTTTTAATAAAAGTAAAAAGGACTTGGTGTTTTTTTTTTTTTATCATTCTTCAATCTGAAATAAGATTCAGTATTTTTGTAGAAATTTCCAAGCAGCCGGGCAGTGGCCTGTCCTGGGAACCCATGCACAGTTAAGACCACAGCGTCTCCCTCTTATCCTCCTCCTGGCCCATGCTCCGCAATGGCAACATTCAGATTGCTTTTAAGTCACAGCAAGTTTATTCTGGGTGTAAATGCTTATTTCGCTTTGAAGGAGCCTGGCTACACACAGATTTCCCAAGCACACATTTATTTCTGGTTACTCTAAACTCCACTAAGAGCCAAGGTTAATATGTGATTAAGGACCCAGCCTCTTCAAGTTTTTACAAGCTGCCATAACAGTTACAAGAGGACTTTTATCTGGAAACTGTATTTCAGCAGAAACTCTATTTTCGTCCAGTACCTGCAAAAGCTGGGTCTGACTGCCGTTGGACTGCTGGCACCAAGTAACCATCTGTTCTGGGAAGAAGTTCTGAGGAAATGAGGAAAAACAAATATGTTAAAGGTTAGCTTCAAAGTTGGGGAAAGCACACTTACAGGTCTGTCCATGTTAAAAAGTTCCTATCGGTATGACTGTGCACATCTGTACTTTAAACAGCCCCTTTTATTCCCTTATCACACAGTGGAGACACCTCCTTCAAAAGGCTGCATTTAGTTTTCTCACACGAAGGATCCAAGTTTGGAAAATATACTATATTAAGTACAGAATTCATGTCTCACGGCATGTCCCATGGCAAAGAGGTACACCGGGGTTATAACTCAGTGATGAGAAGCATGGCATGAAATACAGAATTCCTGAAGTGTATAAGGTGGGCACAGTTGTGTGGGAAAGCCTTTTCTGCTATATTACCCAGAAAGAATTATCAGATTTCTTCCTATGCAATAAAAAAGGCAGATAAACTATCCATGCCAGAATGGACCTAGATCTTTCCCCAAGTTGATGCTGCTCTGTCCCCTGACTCAAGTTAAGAGCAAGTGCTATGGACGTTATGAGATTCTTGCTCCTGATATGTCCCAGGACAAGTGTCTCTCAAAAAAACAGAAGAGGAAAGATCAGTCAAGGAGACTACATCAAGACACCAATCAATCACATTGATTGCTCTACTCATTCTTCTGGATATAATCACAAGATAATATTTGCTATTTTCAGAGAATCAAGAGTATTTCTTCTGCTCAGTTTTGATCAGTTTGTTCCAATTTCAATACTAAAATAACTAAACAAGCCCAGTCTCTCCTCCCCCTTTTGACTTCCAGACTAATGCCCTTTCCATTGTTACTATTTGAAGGCAACTGCTACCTTTAGCCAGTCACAGGAGTCTTTAGTTAAGTGCCAGAGATTGTTTTGGGCAAGGACTGCCTTCGTGAAACAGCAATTCAGATTCTCACACCCATATGCTGACCCACGGATCACAATGATGTTATAATCTGATATTACTAAATACCCAAGCATAAACTTTTAAGATTTCAATAGTTTCAAACCCCAAACCTGAAGAGGTAAGACTCACCACTGGATTCTTAAAAAACTCATACTTCGCGTAATTCTTCCTGAATAAGAATTTACTCTCACTTCCCATGGTACCTTCCACCTGGACCACCAGCTCATGGTCTTCCAGGAACCTTTCTGCAGGGTAAAAGTATCAAGTGTGAGATAAGAGAGGCAAAATCTTCAAGGCAGTTTTACAACAAATTACAAAATCTGGCTGACTTTCCTGTTCTTAAATGTTGTGAACGAAGATGAGGTCAGGAACTAAACTAAATTTAAATCTCTCTTTAATGCACTATTCGATGCCTAAGAGGTCTTAAAATACATAGAATGCAGAATTCAGTTCAATATGGACTTTTATATACTTCTTTTACATTGGGCATCAATAAAATGTTAAGGAGAAAGTCAAATGATTTTTGCCCTTACATTAAGAAATTTCAATGCTTATGAAGAACAGAAACTGGGAAAATATTCAAAGACAAAGGAAAGTAGGGAAGTCACTGTGCAATGAGGTGTGGGGTAAATAAGAGGAGAGGCTACAGAGGTGGGAAGGCATGGGGAGCCTTTGGATTCCATAAAATCTGGTTGCCTGAAACCGCCCTGGGAATGTAATATGGGAGCAGGCACATGATGCTGCTCTCAGACAGGATGTACCAATGTACTCATCTTTCACGCTGAAGCCAGCACTAACCACATCATGGAATATTCTCATCAACTGGATTATATGTGAAGCAAAGAAGAAAACACTACACAGAGTACTCATTGTGCACGTGCGCACGCGCACGCACGCACATACTTCAGAGCATCTGGAAAGGTTATTTTCCCCACTGCTTGTACACTTGATTAAATGTGAAGCATGAAGAACTTGGCCTACTACCAAAGAATACGTGCTTAGAGAAGCTTTGCCTTTCTGCTATCTGATGGAGGTTACATCCCCTCCCATGGATCTGAAAAACTGTAATCAGGCTGGGATGGTAGAAACAGGGGAAATAATTACATCAAATGATGCAATAAACAATAATGAGTAAATCTGGATTAGGGTCAGTGTGTGGACTTGCACCAACGTGGTACAGAGTGAGGTGCTATGCAATGGACAGAGGGCAGTTCTGTCCTTCATGGAGCCAGAACTTAGTCTCTAAAATATAGACTCTCATCTTGTACGGAACAAACAAAGTTTAGGGAAAAAGCATTTCCAAATGAAACTCATCTCAGAATTTGGAAGAATTTCTGCCTGTAGAGGACAACTGCTACCAAGGGTATTCCTCTAACAGGGTCACTGTTGGCACTAGGAGCCAATTTTGGGCGGATATGTCCTCGGCCTTGGTTTTGATGTTACAAGGAGCAGTCTTCCTAGCAGAAATGTATTTAAAGCCAGGATTTATGAAGGAAAGGGATTTTTGTCCCTGTTGTTGCCAAAAAAGCTCACAGAACCTCTGAGGAAGGGCCAGACCTGGCACCACCAGCAGACCTGGGATACTTCCCACTTGTCCCTGTCTGGGAGGGAATTTTGCCAGCAACATGTAATCTAAAACACAGACCTTATGTTTTGCTAGGACAGAAAAGAAGAGAAAAATCATACAATTTGAGCATGTGACTAAAACTCTGATGCTTGTTTTTTTAAAAAATGCCAGACTCAAGGTTGTTCCTTTAAAATAGATGTTCTGGGGAGAAAACAAATCAATGACTTCCATTAGAATTTTTTTATTCATGGAAAAATTTCTTTCTGTTGTTACAGGAAACACACACACAAAAAACAAAAACCAACAACCTAATAACCTACTGATGGTTGGTTTATAGAATAAAACATTTTTACCGGGTAAAATAAGGAGAAATTAAAAGGGGAAGAGGCAGCTACCTACGTGAGGATGTCTATCTCTAAAGCAAAGGGTATCTTGTCTCCAAAGAAGCCTGAGGAATCAAGAGGGACCCTCAAGGGAGAAGTAGACCTAAGAAGCCCATGGTCAAAGAGCATATGCTCTGATCTTGACCCTAAGCCCCTCCTTCCCTCTGTACTGGAGATCCCCTGGGGCAACTGCACACAACTGTGAATGCACACAGAACTGCCCTTAGTATCACACCCCAGGTGGACGGGGGGGAACTGCTGTCCTGGAAAGGGAGACCAGGGGACTCAGGTTCCACTGTGGCCTCAGATAACCAGTAGATTGCCAAGCTGGCCAGTATGTGGAGCATGCTTCTCCTACTCAGGTCATTCTGGTAACCCCAGAGGGGCTTGAGATCTCTAGGTATGGCTTCTAGTTCAAAAAGGGTGGATGAGGTGGCAGGTAAGCCCCCTTCCTCAGGGATCTAGAACCGTGTAGCCTTAACCTGCCACCAAATGCCCCTGGGCACAGTGTTCACAGAAGTCAGTGAGTGGACATCATCAGTTCAAAGTTCTCCCATCCGGTTTTTAACATTCACAGGGCTGTCCATAAACCCCCTATTGTTCTAGTGGCTCTAAGTACAACCAGAATGCTACTTTTCAGGGCGGTATTCCGAAGTCACTGACTGTACACAAGAAAAGGCAAAAATTCCTTTAAGTACATTTGTATTTTTCAAATTTCTAAAATGATGTCCAGCATCTACACTATAATCCTATTCCATGAGAAAAAGACTTAAATGTCAGACAACACCACAAAGAAAATTTTGTTTCTCTGCCTTAAACCAAGCAGCTTTCACGTGACTCTTCGCCATACCCCTCTAGTTGGTGGTGGAGGGACACCACAGAACTGGTGCACAGAAAAGAGGCTGGAGTCCATTGTCTCCTCCTGACACCAGCTGCTGCCCCTGGGCTTGCCTGAGCCAACCTCCAGCCCTATTCAGCACATCCTTCCTCGGCACAGCCCACGCAAGGAAGAGAAGAGAGTTGTCAATTAGTTCAGGGCTTTTCGGGCTAAGAAACTGGGAACAAAGAAAGCTTGTCTATGGAAAAATCACCCTGATGCTGGGACAAGCCCTGTAAGTGGCTCTCTATCTATACATATTTTGGTGAGGAAAGAACATCATTCTGTACTCCTCTAATGTAATAGGGAGCCCCAGACAGAAAAATCAGTCTGTGAACGGTTCTGCCTGAGAACTGAGGATGCAAATGGGCCAGTTTTCTCCTTCGACAACTTTCTGCGTAAGTCAGTTGTCAGCATCCAAAGCAAAGCAGCTGCAGGACCCCAAAGAGTTACTCTCACAGCATTTCTCACCCAACTGGTAACAAACACAAAGCTGGAAACAGCTCCAGAAAGAACGGTGGCTTTTCCTGAGACGTTTCCGCCAATTTGCAAAGGATAACAGAAATCCTCAAATGCTTGAAATCCACAGAATCTGGCCGGAACCCTCTTCTCTTTACTGGGTTGTGAAGGGCCCCCTCTCCTAGAACATCTGTTCTTTCCTCTGTGCCTAATGCCCACATTTTTTAGAATTTGAATGTGAGAGCCTAGCCCCACCACCCCCAGACTTCACAGGATGGAGTTTATCTGCAGTCCCACTTTCAAGTTCAGGATTATACCAAAATGCCATTTGGTATACTTAAATATGTATTCTTCAAAAGTCCTTTAAAAAATTCATTTACTTGCTATGTGTGCAGGCTGACTGTTTAACATCACCATGTTCTCTACATGGGAAGCTGTGTTGGCCAAAGTGGAGCTTCCAGAAACTCTTTGTGCTGGGGGAAGAGGGATAGGGATGCCTTCCAAAGGACCTGGCCCATACCAGCACCCTGAGCTATCTTACTATTGGCTGCTGAGTGGCGTTGATCAGGGATGGTGTTGCCACTGCTGAGATCAACTCTCAGATACTGAGACTAAACCATCTCCAATAAGCTGGTCTTGTGGGAAGTGCTAATTATCAAGAGAGTATTTAAAAGGACCAAGAGAATGGAGCAGGACTCCTGGCAATTGCAAAATATATAACATGTTCACCTAAGATCACCAATCACTAAGGGACTTTGCTGACTACCAAGGGCTTTGCACCAAGTTTCCAAGGCACCTTGAGTGGTGAATGCTCTCAGGTGCTGACAGGAGGAGCCTGGGAAGGGTGACAGGCTCCTGGCTCACAGGTCTCTGCCCATTTGACCACAATGCAATGCAGAGAGGGCAGGGCTAAGTCCCATCAGCCAGAGACATAGCTCTACAGAGCAAGGGAGGCGGTCACTGTTCAGCTTCTCCATCAGTACAGTGGAGCAGCCCAGATGGGAGCCCTGGAGGCTCTTCTCTAGAGAGAAGGAAGCCACCTTGGAAGGACCATCTTGGGAATTGCCCTTACTTTCTCCAGAGCTATCATTCYTTTCTGTGCGTGAAAAAGGTTTAATATTGTTCAGAATCTAACATTGTATTTGGTGAAGTCAGTATAGTAATTGTACTTTGAAATCCTCAATTTCTGAGGTCATATACAGTAAAAAAATGATGTCAGATTGAGATATCTTAAGCCATTCATAATCAGAGGACGGGCTAACATTCTGCCTTAGAATCTGCCTAATGGATATGCAAGCACTGCTTCTTTTTTGCCCAAACTGTCATCCCCATGTATGTCCATGTCCCTATGTGAAAACCCAACATGTAACTACTTAAGAGAGTTACTCCCTACATAGAGATAGCAGCATCTGGGGATGTGGGACAGGATGCCCTACCTGGAGCATCGGTCAGACCTGAGCATGCCAGAAAGACCCAGAAACATGCACTAGAGCGTCAGTCACCACCAAGAGTTCCTCACAAGGCTGTGGTCTTCATAATCATCCCAGGGTGAGTGCTGAGACACCTATAGGGCTCTCTGGAAGAGACCCCACAGCCCAGTACCTGCACCTTCCTGCCAGTGAAGTCCTGACAGTCAAATGCTGCTGAATCATGGAAGAAATAAGATTTCCCCCTAATGAGCAACCGTTGTTGCTATAAATTAAACAACATGCTTAGATCACACATTTAAAAAAAAAAAAAAGCATAAGCAGAGAAGTTAGAAAGATGGGAATGCAGAAGCAGAACCTGTCCTGGGGGTGCTGATCTTTCCAGATAGTATAATTTGGTGACTCTTAAAAACTCTCACAATCCTCTGCAAAACCCAGCCTATATGAAAACATGACCACTTGTCCCTAATGAGAAAGGAATTGATGTTAAGCAAGGCAACTAAGGAAGGATAGTCAAGGGAACTTCAAGTATCTCTAAATTCTGTTTGTGTAAGGCCATTAATTTTGTTTGTTTGTTAAGTAGGATCTAAATTTTTGACCAAAGTGCCCTGTTCTTTTTTCAATCATTTTTCTTGATTTCTTACTCCTCCCCACCTTTGCCTTTAATTTTAAAATAAACCATCATCCCTTTAAAACATGTATTAAGTCCATCCGTGAATAAGACAAAGAACAAAGAATGAGACATAGAAATATCATATTCCTAAGAATATTGTGTATGAATGGGTATTGATTTCTTTACCTCCTCAGTGTAAGTTGTGACGCATTCATTTATTTCCAAAATTTTAATGTACAATTTGCCTATCCACTGTATAAAGTTGCAGAAATCAAGGGCTATAAGAAATATCTGAATCAAAATTTCTAAAACATTCCTTATATGTTAWAATCTTATGTGTATCTGTACCACAAGCTCTAAGTGTGCATCATTATATTCGTGTGTTAAATATCTGCAGAAGTGGGCTGGTTGTAGGTCAGTGGCAGAGTGCTTGCTTGGCAATGCTCAAAGCACTAGATTCGATCCCTAGCATTAAAATGAAAGAAAGAAAGAAAAAAATCTGGAGAAGTCCCTTCCACTGCTCCTTTCAGATAAAAAGAGTTTTCTGACTTTTGAATGGGCTTTCAACAATATTTACTGTTTGGTACTACTATKCAGACTCATTTTTGCAGTTAGTATTCTGCCTATGGTTTTCATACACATATGTGTGTACACACACACACTGCACATTTCCCACTGTTGTTAAATTTCTAAGTTATCTGTGTGTCAACATATGATTCTGGTGGTTTTATCAGACTACTGTAGGATCCAATCACAGATGTCCCAAACCAGAGATTGACCAGAACAGTCAGTCCATCTCCACAGGAGCAAGGGTGACATCACAGTCGCTCACTGTAGAGCAGGTGAATGAACCTGGCAGAAGGCGGCTGTTGGTGACAATGGAAAAGTTCTGTTGTCATACAAACAGGCTGGCCATCAGGGGAGATGGGAAAGAAATCAGCAAAAGCTCTATCTGCTTCCTTTAAAAGAACAYATGTATCTATAAAAGTCCAGATGGAGCTGGAAAAGTGACTTACAAATGAAAACTCAAATTTACATTGTGTCATTTAAGCCTATATTGTACCCTATCTGTTGGAAGAATTTGGTTAAATGAACATTCTAGACCTAGAGATTTAGATTCAATTGATTAATGTTTCAAAAGGTTCATGAGAAGACTTTAAAATTATGGGAAGTCTGCTATCTGAGTTTTATTTTTCTTTTTTGCTTTGAGAAGTGGAAGAAACATAGCTGTTGATTTAGAGAAAATTCTGTCTTTAAATATATATCTATGGTTTTTCAGGCACCACACTTTTTCCAATAGGAATTTAAATAGAAGTCTGAAAAGCTTCTTTATCCGAGACAGAAAATCTGAGAAAAACAAAACTTCAAGTCAGTTCTGGAAATAGTACATATTTTCAAATATTCCATGATATAAAATATTCTCTTTGCTTTCTCAGCATAACCACACAGTTATGTGTGTAAGTGAATGGGCGGGCGGGCGGGCGGGCGCGCGCGCGCGCGCGCACACACACACACACACACACACACACACACACAGAGGAACACACCATCAGGGCATCACCAACCAGCTCAGAAATGCTATGAAAATATCAAGCCTAGGATGCAGCTGCTTTTTGATGTGCTCCCTTCCCAGAAACCTGGAACCAGGGCTCCCTTCTTAGCCAAACACACTAGAGTGGCAACTACAATCCAATCCTGTGATTCTCCAGCACTCCCCAGGGCACTGCAAGGGTGCCCTCTCCCTCTCCTGGTTCATAGATGTGCGACAAGCCCCCATGGCTCTGAAAGGAAGGAAAGGAGCTGAGACACAGAGAACCTTGGTGCTATAGTCAAGTCCTTTGGAAGTTACCACCTTCAACCATCCAAGGCAAGATTCTCAAAGCACCAGAGGGGAGAGGGCTAGGAGGGAGGAAAAATAAAACTTAGGAGGAAAAAAAAAAAAAMCAGCAGCAGAAGTCGAGGGCAACATGTAAGCTGCATGTCAACTTAGCAGAGGGCAGTGAAGTCTCACTTTTGGCATAGCGTCTTCATTTGACTATACACTGAGGTTTCCAGGTGCTATCCCTACCCCAGGCTGTTCCTTACCTAATCCCAGGTGGGGGTGGTGCTCCACCAGTGTCCAGCTGTTGTCATCCACGCAGTGACTTTTGTAAACCAGCAGCTGGCACAGGTCCCTGGCCGTCATATCTGTCAGAATCTCCACCACCTTGCTTGTTCCATCTTCACTAAAGACTTTAACGTCCTGCAACACACAAAGGGGACAGGTACGGATAAACAATTTTGTACTTATAAGAAGTAAAACCTGAGACAAAACAGAAAGAGTGAAAATAGTATACTGTGTTAAAACACATGGACAACTTTTTTTTGGCTGCAGTGATGCACGATGAGGGCCCGTTGATGTCCCCTTTCTTCTTTTTCCTCCTTCCCTTTCCAGCTCTTATGGACAGAGCGGGTAGGATCATGACACAACATTTTTAAAATGCCCACGACATTTCACAGGAACGTGGAGCTCACAGCCAAGCCACCAAACTGGCTCAGGAAGCAACAGAATTCACTTTAAAATACTGACGGTGGTCTCAGGGGTTGGATATTTTATATTTGAACCAACTGCAAAAACAAGCACACCAACAAAAAACTCCTGTCAGTTTCCCCTTCCCATCCTAACTTTTGATGACTCTGTTCTCCATTTTCTAGGTTCTGGGCCACCTGCTCCTGTGTCCTCCACCCATCCCACATTCCCTGAAGCTGAGGAGGAGGAAGAGATAAATGAACATGCATATGCTAAAGTTTAAATCAATAATAAAAGGGCTCAGTAAGAATACAGTCATGACATTACAAGCAGGCTTCATTTTTCTGGTCCTGTTCAAATCCATAAAAACCTAACAGGTCACAGGCAAAGGGATGGTCAAGCAGAAATTCAGATTTACAATTCAGATTATAAATACAGTTGGTCCCGGCCTCAACACCGACAGGGACGCAATCTTTAGAGGAAGGTGAGATGTGTTTAAAACAAAACAAAACAAAACAAAACAAACTTACCTCAACTGCATGGAAAAAGCAGTCAGAGGGATAAGACGGCATTTTAAATCCTGATTGCCTTTCGCACAGGAGTTTGTTCCTGGTCTCCCTCAACTGTTCCCAGCAGGCTGGGCTCCCCCTTTCAGGCTGTGGATGCCAGTCCTGCTGGCTGTGCCCTGACTAGCTGCTTCTGCCCACCCCCAGCTGTCTCACTCTGGTCCTTAGATGGTGAATCAAACCACTCCAGTAGCCCAATCATGTCCTTCCAGGGGCTGATGTAATCACCACACAGGCTCCTCTCCCACTTTACTGCAGGGAGCTCCATGGCAGAGGTGCGGGGCGGCGGTGGGTGGGTGGGGGGTGTACAGCTAAGGATGATGACGACAACAACGACAACAACAACAACACACCCTCAACATGATCGACCAGAAAAATCCCTGTTCAATGTCCTCCCCAGGCAGTGAATCATGGCAGGCAGCTCAGGCTGGAGCACGCATGTTCCCTGGGTCTAGACCAAATCTCCAACTAACCTTTGTCCCCCAGCTGCTGCCGTCAGTGGCAGCTTTTAGAAAGCTGGTCTGCCACCGGGTGGTTGAATGTCCCTGCTCTTTCCAACTCCTTCTCATGTGTTTTGCACTAAGGTTTTGTGAAGGGGTGCTGGGACGAGTGCAGCTGCATTGGGGGACAGGGCTGGGAAGAAACTAGGATTGCACCATTCTGGACAGATGGTCCCTACGGTTGCTGGTCGGTGGTCATCCTGAGGCTGGGACACAGTTAAAGTCATGCAACCATGACAAGGGTAAAAGTCATACCCTGGGCCAGAGGTAGCAGGAAGGAYCTTTCTCTGAGAGGCAGGACTGGCTTGGTGGACCCTTGCTTTCCACCCTTCTGCACTTCCTGACTCAGAGAAAGCCCAGGATGGGTCAGGACTGGAGGTCTTGCTTTCAACTCCCATTCACTTCAAAGAAATCCACCTCTCTCTTTTCTGGAATGTAGGTTTAACTCAATGAAAGCATGTTTTCATGATTGAATTGGTCTATAAAAATAAAATTTTATGTAAGCTGAGAAAATATGTCTCTGGTCACAAGGTAAAAACATTCTTTATTAAAATGCTTTAATGTAAAAGACAAACAGAGGATTGGGAAATATAAATGCATTCAAACAATGCCTCGGACACATGCTTATTGTGATATCCTGTATGTCTCCTAAAGCAGTGTATGCTTTCCCCTTCCCACATTGTGTTTCCTGATGTTCTTTCTTTCCAAAGGTTCCAAATGAGTTCATCTGTGATTACAATACAGATTTTCTCCTCTAGGAAGGTTGAATAATGTTGTAGTAGGAGTTTCACATCTCTCCAAGTTCACTTAACATTTTTCCCACCCAGATAAGCTGTGGCACCAGTTTCCTAATTTTTTTAGACTTATGGTATTTTTTTCTTTATTCTCTCCTCTCTTGCTCCTTGGAAATTCCCCCAAAGGTCTATATACAGTCTGAATACTAAAACCTATGATGTGTTTGGACGTATGTTTACCTCCTCTCCTTTTGGATCCCCACAAAGKCCAGAGTAGCAAGACCACGGTATTGTGGGTTGGGCAGGAGGCTGGGCCACTACTGTAGCCTGAGGCAGGGGATGGGCACAAGAGTACATATGGTCTGGTTATGGCCTCTGTCCCTGACGCAAGCAACTTCTGGCTACTACCACAAATATTAGAGCCCTCAGACCACACACCCAACACAAGTCCCCAAGACAGAACATCAGGAAAAGCATTACATATGCCAGTCATCTCAATTCGGGTCAATGCAAGGAGCTGTAGATGAGAATGTGTGAAATAAATACGCAACACTACACAGAAAGACCCCACCCCACCCTGCTGCAGAGCTTTGAAAGTAGGAGTTTCTGGAAGAAGCATTTTGAGCCACCTGAACTGCCTCTTAAGTAACCACCTGGGAAGTGCTGGGGGGTTCATTCAGATTGCAAAGGAAGGTCCTACAGTTCAGGGGTCAGCTGCTCCAAGTCCAGGGCTCCTAGGGAGCAGCCTGGGTCCTCCTGGTTCATCCAGTACTCACACTTATTGCACCAGAGTGAGCACAGAAGGTTCTCTCAATCAGGTCAAGACCCTGTCCCACAGCAACTCACAGTTCATCAGGGAAAGATCAATACCACAGGCAGTAATTTTCCAGGGGAGCTCTGTGCAGAGAAAAGATGAATCTGGGTAATATCAAGAGAAGGTGGAGAAGTTGGAGAAAATTCCATCCTGGCTCAGCCATCTACTAGAGCTGTGAATTCAGGCAGGTAACTACCTGCCTCAAATTCACTTTCCTTCTCTTTACCAGGGGGCACTGCTCAGAGAATCGGTGTGGTGGAAGTTACGGCACAGGGGTGCTTTCAAGTAGAAGCTCTTAAAATCAGAATAGGCTGCAATTCTATTTCATCAGTTATTAGTTRTAGAAATTTGGCTGAGTTAATCAGCCTCCCTGGGCCTCAGTTCCCCTATCTGTAAAGTAGGAATCCTTAAGGAGCACTGGCCTCATGACTTTCACGTATCTGCCTTGAAGTGGGCTCCAGCTGAAGACCTGCGGAACGACCAGGGAAGGGGTGAAGGTGGGACCCTGAAGACTGCTTCCCACTCAGATTCCAATTCTAAGAAAGCAGACTTCATGACCAGTATGATGCAGTGGGAATGATTCAGTTGGGAAAAGCCAACTCCCAAATCCTCAATTTCCTTTTCTCTACTGCAAAGAAAACCAAATAGCTAACTGCTTTTAAAAACAGTAATATGAAAGAGGGTGTAATTATGTCAACAGCATAAAACTCTCTTTTAGAGAGTGGGGGAGGAAGCTTTGACGTACCCTTGGGCTGGTATGCCACTGCATCCTGTTATGGAAGCTTGAAGCAGTGGTAGAATGTTCCACCATTTCCAGACTTTCCGTGGTCATTTTTTTATACATTCACTGTACAGAGAAATAAGTGTTTCATTCTTTGCAAATTTGAAGGAAGGAGCTTAGGAGTAATTAGATCTGAGGGTAGAGTCAGCTCCATGGTCCAAACTCCACTCTGGGACGCCTGGCTCTTAAATCTCAGTGGTCCCCAGCAGGTACACAGTGAGGGTCTTCTGGGCCCTTCCAGTTCCTAATCTCAGCATAGACATCCCATTTCAGCTTTATGCAACAGACAGACTTTGCTGCTGCTGGCTGACTTACAAGTTCAGGGAATCTCGTTACTGAATTCAAAAGACCTCCTGACTTTGGCAGTGAGCCTCTGCCAAAGGCTCAGTGATAATCACCTTATAAAAATAGAAAATGGGCCACTCTCAGCTCTTTGCCTCCCTCAGAGCCGTCTGCAGTGCAACATGTCCCTGGGCAGACAGCCCGGCCCTGTGGTGCACAGACTGACCAAGAGTTGCTGAGGTTCCCCGCCCCCAGGCACCCATACAGAAACCAGGACCTTGTAGGGCGTCTGCCCCAGAAGCTGGTGGGCCTAGTGTTGTCTTCATTCTTCTTCACTGGAGGTACTTCTTAGGTCAAGAACTCTTACAGGATGTAGGCTGGAGTTTTTTTTTTTTTTTTTTTTTTTTTTTTTTTTAACTCCAGAAGCCTCTTCTGAATATTGGGGAGTAAACACTTTGGAGAAGCTGGGTTGTAATCAAAGAGCCAAGAGGAGGCTGTCCTCAGGAGGAAGGATACGCCATGGAACACTGATGGGGTCCTATTTTAAGTGGTACAAACCCTTTTTTATTGTGATTCTATGGAACCTCAAGCAAAGAAAGCAGGAAGACCACTGAGCCAAAAGCAGGTAGAGAAAACCAAACGCTGAAACAGATATATCACACCCCTTACCAGATGTGCAGCTTTTTTTTTTTTTCTGGAAGGCAGCAAACCTGGCACAACATGAAGGAGAATGGAAAGTACTGGAGCCAGAAGTTGAACTCAGGGCTCTCTCATTCCATTGCCCTTGTGCAGAGGTCACTGGACTGGTAAGATCTACTCACCGAGGAAACATTAGCAAGGTGCGCCCCAGCACCTAGAATCTTTCTTGCCAGGAGGACTCCAAGGCTCATGTGAAAAGGCTTTTGATCCTAGGTGGTCCTAATGTTTCTAAATTTGGTGGGGAGGAGTTCTTTATACCTAGGAGGTTTGAGGTAAACTCAACTGACTTTGAAACATGCAAGAGGCTAGGTTTAGTTAATTTAARTGAGAAAGAACAGAATTCTACCAAGATTTTTT